GTTCCCTCGACTTCTAGCAGTACCTCCAGTACCTCCAGTACCTCCAGTACCTCCAGTACCTCCAGTACCTCCAGTACCTCCAGTACCTCCAGTACCTCCAGTACCTCCAGTACCTCCAGTACCTCCAGTACCTCCAGTACCTCCAGTACCTCCAGTACCTCCAGTACCTCCAGTACCTCCAGTACCTCCAGTACCTCCAGTACCTCCAGTACCTCCAGTACCTCCAGTACCTCCAGTACCTCCAGTACCTCCAGTACAACAACAACTGCTGATGATGGATCTGGCATTTCCACCACTGTCGTGCCTGTCACGACATCCGATGATGGCTCTGGGGCGACAACCACGGTGATAACGACTACGGGAACCCCAACCACCCCTATATCTCCAGTGAGTACGATGAGCACCAGTACAACCACAGATGAAGGATCGGGCATCTCAACTACCATGACACCGTCAACGACTGACGATGGATCTGGTTTGACGACAACTATTTCAGCGACCTTAACGAGCTCCACCAGCTCCACCAGCTCCACCAGCTCTACCAGCTCCACCAGCTCTACCTCCTTTGCTAGCTCTACCAGCTCTACCAGCTCTACCAGCTCTACCAGCTCTACCAGCTCCACCAGCTCCACCAGCTCTACCAGCTCCACCAGCTCCACCAGCTCTACCAGCTCCACCAGCTCTACCACCTTTGCTAGCTCTACCAGCTCTACCAGCTCTACTAGCCTGACTAGCTCTGGATCGACTGCTCTGCCAGTGTCGACCACGACGGACGATGGCTCGGGTATGACAACAACGACTGTGCCACCATCAACAACAACCACGATGCCAACAACAACTACGATGCCAATGACGACCACGACGGACGATGGGTCGGGCATGACAACAACGACTGTGCCACCATCAACAACAACCACTATGCCAATGACCACCACGACGGACGATGGGTCTGAAACGACATCAGGGCCCTTCACTTCAACATCTATCACAACTACAACTGATGAAGGCTCTGGTCTAACAACTACACCAACCGTATCCACTGCGTTGCCCACGTCTTCAATGTCTTCCACCTCTTCCACCTCTTCCACTTCCTCCACGTCCTCCACGTCTTTCACCTCCTCCACTTCGCTTGGGTCGACCCCACCCTCGACAACCTCGGTATTCTCATCGACCTCGTCAACCTTCTCAGTCTCTTCCACGTCTTCCACGTCTTCCACGTCCTCCACATCCTCAACGTCTTCAACCTCCCCAACTTCCTCAACGTCTTCCACGTCTTCCACGTCTTCCACGTCTTCCACGTCCTCCACGTCTTCCACATCTTCCACGTCTTCCACGTCTTCCACGTCCTCTACGTCTTCCACATCTTCCACGTCCTCCACGTCCTCCACGTCCTCCACATCTTCCACGTCTTCCACATCCTCCACGTCCTCCACATCTTCCACATCTTCCACGTCCTCCACATCCTCAACTTCCTCAACTTCCTCAACTTCCTCAACGTCTTCCACGTCTTCAACGTCTTCAACGTCTTCCACGTCTTCCACGTCTTCCACGTCTTCCACGTCTTCCACGTCTTCCACGTCTTCCACGTCTTCCACGTCTTCCACGTCTTCCACGTCTTCCACGTCTTCCACGTCTTCCACGTCTTCCACGTCTTCCACGTCTTTAACTTCCTCAACGTCTTCAACCTCTTCCACGTCTTCAACCTCTTCAACGGCTTCGACGTCTTCCATGTCTTCCACGTCTTCAACCTCTTCCACGTCTTCAACCTCTTCAACGTCTTCAACGTCTTCAACGCCCTCAACTTCCTCAACCTCCTCGATCTCCACGACCTCTCCAACCTCTTCAACCTCTTCAACCTCTTCAGTCTCTTCGACCCCCTTAAGCTCCACAATATCAAGTACAGCCTGCTTCAATTGCACAACTTCTACAAGCTCAACCATAACTACACCAGCAACCACGCTCACAACGACTTCGACAACGGTCGTGACGACCACAAGTCAGGCATCACCGACGTCGAGTACCACTTTGTTTGCCGAACCTACTAGTTCGATCTTTTCCACTACCACAACTTCAGAAACTATTTCAACGACGCGGGACACGACGACTCGACCAATAACGACAAAGCAGGATAGGATAACGACGACTCGACAAGCAGACACTACAGTCCCACCCACAACCCGACGTGTAGACACTACAGTCCCACCCACAACCCGACGTGTAGACACTACGGCCCCACCCACAACCCGACGCGTAGACACTACGGCCCCACCCACAACCCGACGTGTAGACACTACGGCCCCACCCACGACTCGACGTGTAGACACTACGGCCCCACCCACGACCCGACGTGTAGATACAACAACGCGGCGCACTGACACGACCACCGTGCGTGCCACTACACGTGAGGATCGAAGAACAACTTTGCGACCCATTCCAACTACCACAATCGCGACTACGGTCGGCATCAATGTGACAACCGGGGGTGCCGAGGCTGTGGTGGGAGGAGGTGCTGGTGGTGGAGGCGACCTTTTGCCTTGGTTTTGTAAGTTTGCCGAGCTTGCAAATTAGACTTTGCGTTGAGCATTCTCATCCAACCGCTGTGCATGTTCCATCTATAGTGGTGCTCTTGGCGCTCTTTCTTCTTTCCCTCATGCTTCTTTGCTGCATCCAAGCAATGGCCTTCATGGGCAGTGCTGTGGGCGCTGGTGCTGTTGCTGGTTTGTATTGCGTTTTCTGTTGCCTTGATATGTTGGTCTGGCTCTAGATACTGCTTCCCTCCGCTTGATCGCACTCATATTGACGTATTGGCCTTGATGGAAAGCGCAGATGAGAGTTCGATCGGCAGCAGTGAGAGCTCATACAGCATTAACCTCTATTCTGAGATCGGTAAGTGGTTGCCGTTTGTTGGTGCCGAGCCGCAGATCGTCATCCCAACGACTTGTGTCTCAACGAATGCTGACATGCTCTGTCATACGTACGCTATATTCTTAGGAGACGGGGTCATGGCGAATAACGGACTTTACGGAGCTGTGCCAGCTGGCCGACCACCTTTGCCATCACTACCGACAACGGCACGCCCACCTGTGGCCCCTCCGGTGTGTCGGCTGCCAATTGTTTTGCCGAGTAGCTACGCACATGGTATACCCACACACACACACATGTGTGTGTGTGTGTGTGTGTGTGTGTGTGTGTGTGTGTGGGTGCGCGTGTTTTGTCTGAATATTCACCTCGGCGAATCTTTGCTCCTAGATGTTGATGAGGGTCAACCCAACCTATGGCATACATCGGGCGCGATCGTCAGTGGCCATGCAAGGGCCACCACTACAGAGCCGCATGGACATGCGCTCGGGCAGCTTGCACATGGCAGCTTCCAGGGGCTCGGGACTGTCCAGCGGCCCCTCGTTGGTTGCTGCAGGCCCGCCCTTAATGTCGGCCGGACCACCGCTTTTGTCCGATCATAGTCAGTCTTGGCAGCAGGGGACGGTGCTGCGTCGCGATGGACGGGTTTCACTACATCCCTTCAGTGGCCCGATGGCAAGCGCGCAGGGCTGGGGCCCTTCCATCGTGAGCGGCGGACCTATGGTTCCGGGGCCTCGACACAGTGTGCATGGTGCGCACAGCAGCCGGTTGCTGCAAACCAACCTTTCTCAAACCAGTCACGCGGCTCGCACAAGCCCTCGGCAGAATGTGCCGGTAATACTGTCTTCGGATAGTGACAGCGTGGCAGGCGGCTCTGTGCACTCGGCAGGCTTTATTCGCACCCCCTACGAGTCCATTGCATCCTTGCATTCGGCCATCCCACCGTCGCAAGGCACGGGCCCATCTCCAACGCCCAACACGGTCTTACATCGTGTCCAGCAGGGCGTAGACGAGCCCGACATGATGGGCAGTTCCTCGAGCGGTTCTGAGCTATGATCTCCCGCTTTTTAGATGCAAGGCAAAGGCTACATAATATGCTACCAGCTCTTGAGTGTCAAAAGTGTGCTCGTATGAGACAATGCTTGAGCCGTCAGGCAGCTGTATTTTTAATGTCTCGTGCAGCCACCGGGTCTGTTCTTGCGACCACTTTCTGATGTTGATCTACATGAACTTGTGCTTGTTCTTTTTTTTATTTTCCCATCTGTCCGAGGACTGAAGATGTTCCCATCTGTCCGAGGACTGAAGATGTATAATATTGCTGTTCTGATGTTTTTCTGCGAGGAGATGATGTAGAGTGCACCGGAGGCCGAGTCGTGGTGCATTTGTTGTGTAGCGCTCGCTTGTATTTTTCTTGCCAATCTGTAATTTGTATCTGGGTGTTCTTGTCTTGTCCGATCAATAACAGGGCGCTGCAATGTGTTTGATGATTTGTTGAAGACTCGTGCATGCCAGAGGACACTGTGGTGCTCAAGTGATCCATTGAAGTGCAGAATTGAGCAAACAAATCTCACACAGGAATTCGGCAAACCAGGCACGGGTTCTTCAAGGCATCGAGGTGAAAAAAAGAAAAAGAAAAGAGAACAGGGACCTGGTTGAAAATGTCGAGCAAAACAACGAGAGTTGACGGGGCGAAGGAAAACAGATGAATCGACACAACACCAAGCTTTGCGGTCTACTCTGAGCGTGCATAGCTGCAAGCCTAAAGAATGAGATTGACGCATCGCACCATCATGGTCAGTCGGCAGCAATGTCATCAGTGAGGCAGTGCTCAGGGCTCTCGGGTATAATAAAAGCTGTCCCTCAGCCGACGGGGCAGCTGGCGGCTCACCTTGCCCGTCTTTTGGATGGTGGCCAGGATGGTATCCTTGTCGAGGGGGGTCTTGACGGCTACGGTCTGAGCCTCCATGTCAATGCTGATATCCTCCACTTCTGCATGCACACGAGTCCAAGCGTAAGACGAGCATGAGTTACTGATTGCCGACTTCAGGATGTCATGACGAAAGCAAGCAAGCTGCAAGCACAACCGCACCGGGGACTTTCTTGAGCACGCGCTCAACGGCACCGGAGCATCCGCCACAGCTCATGGCCACGTTGTAAATGTGGGTCTACCCGAGCGAATGGGCACATGTTCAAGGGGTGAGGGATCAAACACACGCACCCAGCCGAATGAAGAAACAGCGGAACAAGAGGGAGGTGTGTGCCACAAACGCGGCGAGCCAGCCAGCAGGACTATGCCTCTCGACACGTACGGGCATAATGATGCTTAATCGTTAATGCATTCACTTTCACTTCAAAGCCCGAAGAGACGGTATTGCATTTGTCGCTGCCGTCGTCCGTCCGTCGTCGATGGCGCGTCGCCGACGGACACTTCACTGTCTGAGAAAAAAAAAAAAAAAATGCGCTCCAAGCACCTGAAACAGCCGAAGACGTACTTGAAGAAGACATACGCACAGAAGATGAAGAATTCATAATGCATCAAGCTTGAGAAAATGCAGAATAATGTACAGTTATCGTAGCCAAACACGCAGACCAAAATGTCAGAAAAACAAAAGTATTGATTTGTCAGATAAAGTAAAAGTGTGATGAATAGTACACTGTCGCAGCACGGGACGTAGCAACGCTTTTTTTCTCTTTTTTTTTTTTTTTTAGGGCACTGCGCGCTGGTATCGGAGAATCAGCTCGATCACCGCTTGGGTTCGGAGCGGGCGGGTGAAGCATTGGTGGCAAACGGCAAAGAGAACGGACACTATATTGGAGGACTGGTCTGCCAGCGCGGGCAATACGAGGTGTAGGTTTGTGCCATGGATATTCAGGATGATGTGTCTGAAATCGACGTGCGCGAGGAGCTAGAAGACGAGGAGGGTGAGGAGGAGGAAGAAGAGGAGGAAGAAGAGGAGGTGGACAATGGCATGCTTGGAGCGGAGGGGGACGCGGATGACGCCGATTCGACAGGGGACGACAACGGTTCCAAAGCAACCAAATCCGCTGGCTCTAGTAGTTCGACTAAGGCCAAAGGCAAGGCCAAGGCGAAGAGTGGCAGCACCACTTTGCCTGCGTTGGTGCCAAGCACGCGCGTGCGTGGCCCCGTGGAAACCTTGATTGAGCTCGGCAATCGACAGATTGCGCTGCGGGCCTATGAAGAGGCCTTGAGCTTTTATTGCCGCGCCTTGCAGCGTTTGCCCGAGAGCCCGCTCGAAGCCACCCTGCGCCTGGCCTTGCTGCTCAATTTGGGTGAAGCCTCCCTTTTGCAAGCTCACGAGCAAGCTGAGGCGCGACAGCAACAGCAGCTTTTACAACAACAACAACTTCAGCAGCAGCAGATGAACGGGACTGGGCGTGGCTTGTTTCCACCGATCGCGGGCGCCACTCGCCCTGCGACGCGGGCAACCCGACCGACCACCAAGGCTGGTGGACGGCCACCCACGCGGAAAAATCTCCCTCCGCCACCCAAGCCAACTGACTGGCTTGAACAAGTGGATCAAAGCACTTTGAGCAACGCCTACATTGAGGAAGCCCTCGCTCTGATCGACCGCAACCCCTCTGTTGATGTCACGCAGGCCTGTAAAAACTTGTGCTTTCCCTCTGCTTGCCTTTGGTGGCCGCAAGAGCTTGTGCCGCCCCCAGATCCTGCGGCAGCGAAAACCAAAGGCAAGAAGAAAAAAGGCAAGAAGAAGGGCAAGAAAAAACGCAAATAGAGCCAATTGGCTACCTTCCCTCGGCTTGGATTGGATCCTGCTCGCGCTGCGCGCGACCCCATGCACAAATTGATGTGTGAAATGATACGTAAAGGCTTTGCCTATCTCTCAGTGCTTGCCGCCGGTTTGGCGCCTTTGCTTCTCGCACCTCCCGCTTCCTTTGCTTGATGTAAGGCGGCTAGAATTCCAGACCCTTCATTGATCAACACACATCAAACGATATGCCCAATGGATGAGGTCAATTACAGTGACTAACATGAGTGAAAAATAAGTAGCACAAGCCAGGCGCCAAGGAAACGTCCCAAACAATAGCCGAACTATCGACAAGATTTCATGAAGACGACCCAGGGGTGGGTGGGAGCGCAGGCAGTATAGGCATCAAACTAAAATGAAAAGATGAGATATCCTGAATAATCATCACATCAAGCCGAGACGGCAAGATGGAGCCTGATGGCGTCTCAGTCCACCTCTTGGTGGGACTCATTGTGCTTCACATCATTCCGTGCTCTGCCATCGTCATTGTTGAGTTCTTCGCGCTCCCCATCACTGTCAGGCAGCTCATCACTGCCGTCCTTTGGTGTCTCGTCTCCCTCTGCATCCGGTGATTCGTCTCCAGCATCACTGGCCCTTGCTTCAGGTTCGTCGAAAGCTTCGATTCGGCGGTCGCTTGCCTCCTTTCCCTCATCATCAGGGGTCTCGGTTGTGGTTTGATCCAGCTCGGCTTCATCGTCTTCAGGCTCCTCGTCTTCCTCAAGCACGACGCTAAGCCCAGATTGAGAGTCCTCGGCCAACTCTTCTTTACGATGCGCTGCCGTCAAAGGCTGAATGACGGGATCCAGAGGCATGTCCTTGGACATGTCTTCCATCTCATCTTGGCCGTCAGCGTCTTCCACGAGCACGGTCGGAGTGATGGCATCAGAAGTTGGTTGTGAGGCAGCCAATGGTGGGCTCACAGATCTCGAGCGAATGCCTCCACTACTACCACGGCTTGCCAGATGGCCACGCGAAGACCGACGCGGGGCACCTGGCGGTGGTGTGGCGGGGGCAACGGGCGTCAGAACCTGCAGTGCAGCCGAATGATGGGGTTCCGGTTCCAGTGGCGTAGGCGAATCACTCGTCGTCGCCAGCCCAAGTCGCTGTGCATCCTGCGCCAAGGCTACGGCTTGGGTGCGAACTTGCAGCTGTGCCATAACGTCCTTGACGTATGTCATCTCATCCTTGAGCCCCAGCATGGCATGTTGGAGGTGCACGTCCTGCTGACGGGATAGCTGCTCAATGCGCTGCGCCAGCGACTGGCCATCTTGATTGTGCTGCTCTGTCCATGCCTGCATTTCAGCCCGCAACGCAGTGCTCTTCGCATCAAAGGCTGTTTGGTCGACTTTGGCACCCAGAGAGCGTCGGATGAGTTCAAGATGCCGCTCCAAGGTCTGGCGCCCCTGGGCCGCATCTTCCTGATGACGCGTGACCGTTCGAGCCAGAAGCTCAACTACGCCAGCAAAGCCATGGCAATCGGATGAGCGCAGAAAGAGAGCAGTCATGTGGCTGGCAAAAGATCAAAGACAGGCATGCTGCAATGTGCACACGACTGCCCACCTTTAGCGCCCTGGGCTCGCTCCAGAATCTTGGCATTAGCCTGAAGAGCTTGGATTTGGGCTGCCAAGTCCTGGGAGGCCCTATAGACACGGTGACGGCATGCATTGTTCGTGAGGGCTCCAACGGGCTTGGCAAGCTCGAGAAAAAGGCAAGTGATCCAGACCGTACCGCTGAGCCTGATCGATTGCAACGCGCAGGTCTTGTGAACGCCGCTCAACGTAGTCGCGCGACTTCACAGCTTGCGCTTGCAGGCGCTCATCCCATTCAGCACGTAACGCATCAGCGGCTTGACGCAAATCATCGTGGCCAGTACGGCGTTGGCTCTCCACCGCGCCTTGCAAGCGTTGTCGACTTAGGATCTCCGCCTGCAGCACCGCCTCGGTCTGATGTAATCGTTGACCCGTGGTGTCTGCGACGGCGGTGATGTTGCGATTTAGCTTTTGCAGCTCGCCCGCAGCACTAGAGGTGGCGCGGCTGAGCGCATCATCAACTCGCTTCAGCTCGCTTGCAAGCGTTTTCTAGAGCAGACGCTGGTGTAAGGCACCGGCAACGGTAAGTCAGGAGTATGCACGGGGCAAGTGGAGTCCCAACCTGATGGGCGGTCAGTTGGGCGGCCACGAGGGCTTGTACGTCGCCTTGCGCAGCTTGCAGCTGTTGGCGCTGAGCATCACGCTGGGTGGCCAGAGCGCCCCGAACGTCATCGATTTCAGTTTGCAGGGCCTGTCGAACCTCATCAATTGCAGCCTGCTGGTGCCCCTGCATGTGCTGCAAACTATATTGAGTGACGGGACAGGTGAGCGTGAGGTGCCGCTTCAACGATACAAACGCGAGAGGGAAGAACACTGTGGCTCTACATACTCATTCATGACGGTTTGGAGGTCACCCGACTGCAGGGCCGTCATGTGCCGCAGTTGCTCGCTGACGGCATCAAGCTGACGTCGCGTATCTGTCAGCCCCTCTTGGACATGCTCACGCTGGATTTGAAGAACAGGCAGGAGAAACACAGCACAATCGGAAAAAACAAAAACAAAAACGAAAGCACAATGCATGGCAATGGCAGATGAGCGCTACGCAGTCTGCAATCAAGCGCATGGTTTGGCAGCACCTGTCGCACCAAGTTGTCGTGGGCGTCCTGGAAGCCAGTTTCAAGCTGCGCACAGCGCGCATCCAGTGCATTTGTCCTGTTGCGGTGTGGGAACGCAAGGTGAGCCTGTATACAGTGGGACGTCCACTTTAGCACCCTCTGGTGACGCACCGTGTGTGTGTGTGAGCCTGGTTTTCTTGCAATAAGTGCGTGCCTGCGGTGAGGCTTTCAATGTGCTTGTTAAGTGTATCTTGGCGCTGGTCCGCGCGCTGCTGCTGTTCAACCATCGTCTAGTTTGGTGGCGATCAAAACTCAAGTGTAAGGACGGATGACGATGGAACCATGTGGGCACGCGTCTTGCGTCCGATGGGCCTGGCTACCTCATGGAGCTGAAGCACATTGGCCTGGAGCTGCTCCTGAATTACGGCTTGTCGATCTGTGGCACAACAAGCAATGGAGTGTGGGATGGATCAGTGCTGGCCGCGTCCTCGGAGAAATTTATTGAACGAGTACAGAGAGACGAAGTAGCGCACCAATTTTATCGTGCATCACGGTCAAAGCCTGACGAATTTGAGTGGCTACCGATGCGGCCGTGGTGTTGCTTTGCAGCTGGAGCTGCGTCAGGCTTTCATCGTGACGGCGCCAGGCAGATCTGAGATCAGTTTGCGTGCTGCCGACTTGATCAAGTCTACGCTGCTGTTCGTTGTGACGCATCATGTTCTCCGACTCTGCGGTCGTCAAGCGTCGCTCGACAGCTTGAAGCCGACTGGCCAATTCTGCCGTCAGCGCACCAGAGGAGGCTGCTGCAGCCGTGGGCTGAGTCTGGTTGAGCTGCGTTTGGCGGATGTGCGCTTGCAGCTGCGCGATGGTCTCCATCATCTACATCATCGGTATCCAGGCCGCATGGGTTTGGGCGTCGGGGGAACGGGCGGTGGGTGTTGGGACGCATGGGGAAGTCGGACAGGCCGACCGAATGGCAAGAAAGAAAGAAACAACGACGACGACGACAACAACAACAACAACAACAACAACAAAAGGTCAAAGGATCGAACCGCATGTTGGTACTGCGCATGAGCACGGGCATCTTCCTCGCGTTGGTGCTGCACAGTCCGGACTTCACCTACAAGTGCGGCACATTAGAGGTTGGACAGGGGAGACAACATAAATATCGTGAGTGCAAGCAGGATAATGCTCGCTACGTGGAAGGCTGTTCGAAACCAAGCTGTGGGTTCTGACGTTGAAGGCGGCTGGTTTCTTCGAGAAGTGCCTGATATGCGCGTTCACTCTGAAGAAGGCGATCCTCCTAAAGACACGGCATGAATCACATCTTGAGATGAGCCAAGAGCAAGAGTGGGAATTGGGCGGGCCACAGCACAGCAGAGTCATGGCAAGACTTGAGAGTGCACAGCACAGCGCACCATTGGTCTGGCTTGGCGCCCGTTCCAGCTGCCCCGAGGGCTGCCAGCAGACCCGTCATCATCCATGTTCTGCGGTTGTCGCGGGACTGGAGAGGCGTAGGGGTCATTCTGCCGTTGGGGATCAATGGGAGGCAAAGGCCGAAGCGCCCTGCAGATCGGCAGGCGCGCGTGTCATATGAGGCTCGACCGGTCCAAAGCTGCCAGCACACCCTTGGACACGGCAAAACTCGAGAGAGGCCACTCACATTGCTAGCAATGGACAAGAGTGAACACCGCTTCGCCCCTCTTGTACTGGTGCATGTGAGCTGTGGACGCTGGTCCTGGTGGTGTGCTGGTGCTAGTGCTGGTGCTGGTGGAGTCTGAAGCCTGGATCCTAGAGCCTAGAGCCTGGAGCCTAAAGCCTAAAGCCTAAAGCCTAAAGCCTGAGGCCTGAAGCCTGAGGTTTGCTACCTGGAGCCTGGAGTTGAAGCTCGGCGTGCTGGCGAGCTGGAGCGATGGAAAGCTTGTAGCCGAAAAGCTCTGCGCGCAGCAAACAGCTGACATATAAGCTAATGTATGTAAAACAAGAGTAAAATATGAAATGAACTACAAGTAAGTGGTAGTTTGTGCAGATGTGTACAAGGTTTATGTCGCTCAAGCGGGATCAAGGAGTTGTTGTTGTGGTGTCAAGACAAAATCCTAAAAGTATAACTGATGTTACACTTTTGATAAAATAATAGTAAAATACTTTTTCGCGTTGGAACAGTGTGCTATTTGATATCAGATGAAGTATTATACTTTGATGTTAATTTTTTCGTCATAGTGCAACTTGTGTTACGCTTTGAATTTGAATTTTTTTTTTTTTGATTTTTTCTCTCTCTCAGTGAGCAGACGGACGATCGGACCTCCCCTCCTCCTTCGCCTCCGTCGTCTCCTCCTTCGCCTCCGTCGTCTCCTCCTCCTTGGCCTTCGTCGTCTCCTCCTCCTTTGCCTCGATCGTCTGCTCCTCTCTTGGTGTAATTGCCCAAAAGCAGCGGCCATTGCCGTGGGCACACCGAGCCGTTTGAATGTTAAACCGGTGCTGGTGATCTGCATCGCAACATGATGTCGGCTACGTCAGAGGCGGATCTGCTCCGCAAGAGCAAGGTCGAACTTCAAGCGCTGGCTCTCCAAGTGGGCTTGAAAAAGGTGTGTCGGCTTTCTTTTGCCTCTCGTTCTCCTTCGTTATCCACCCTTGCGCCGGCCCAGCCTGCTCACCTTTCCAAAAATCGACTTTGGCGCGTGTGTAGAGCGGCGTGGGGTGGCCAACCTGCTGTCCGCCAAAGGGGAGCAAGGAAGATATCGTGCGGGCTCTGTTGCAGTTTCAAACTGAGCAGGGGGCTGATGAGCGCCTTCCCTCAGCTGAAACCTCGCCTGCCAGAACCATTGCCAAGGCACTTGAACCAGTCACAGCCACCGCTCGTCCTGACGATGCAACAGTGCCTACAACTCCGCCCCGCACACCTTCGCGTACTATTCCGAGCGTCATTGTGACGCCCAAGGCTGCGCCACCGACGTCGTCAACTCAAATGCTCTTTGCCACCGCGCAGTCTGCAGCCACACAGCCCACGCTTTCGGCCGTGCCGGCCCATCCGCAGCTACCAGCCAAGGACCTACATGCCATCGCCACCATGGCTATTAGTGACGCACAAGCAAGTGGCACGGCCAATCTGGCCGACTTTCATCTGGACCGATTTCCTGCCCTTATGGACCGTGGCCTCGAGTGGCTCAGGACGCCCAGCGTCGCCCACAACCTCACTCAGCTGCATTTGCAAAACAACTATCTCACCGAGCTACCCTCTGAGATTGGCGCTCTCCAAGCGCTGCGCGTCCTGGACCTTAGCCACAACGAGCTCACGTCACTGCCCGATGCGCTCTTTTCGTGCCCCAAACTGCACTCCCTCACGCTAACCAGCAACAAGCTGCAGACCCTCTCGCCTATGATCAGTCAATGCAAGCACCTGTTTGTCTTGATTCTCCACGACAACCTCTTGAGCGAATTGCCATACACGCTGGGTCACCTCAAGCACCTGCGCGAGCTCGGCATTGGATATCAGCCCCTGCTGCGCCGCCTGCCTCCGAACCTGGCCTTGTTGAAGGACCACCTAGATTCTTTATGGTTCCGAGGTCGAAATGACTTTAGCAATGTGCCTGCTGCCAAGCTCCTCGACAAGGATGCTGTCATGCAAATTTTGCAAGCTGAGCTGCGCACCCGTGTGACCCAAAGTCTGTCGTCTCCGCTTGCCCTTTTGCTCCAGCACCTTTGAACGTTTCGCAATCCCGCCTTTCAATGCTCATCTCCTCCCGATCTTCCCTGACTCAACAACTCACAGATACCAGCATGGCCGTTCTGAACAATCTCTTGGGTAACATTCGCGTGTCTCCCATGAGCACCCCTAGCAAAGCCTACTTCAGCACGCCGCCCACATCGCGAGGTGCGTCTCGCGAAACCCAGGGCGCTTGAGTGCCATCCCCTTCAGATTGCTTTCCTTTGAACATACGCCTCTTTTTGCGGCGCTTTGAGACTTGCTTGCAGCTGTTTGACGAGTCAACCTGCTTGGTCGTATTTTCACAGGGCGCAGCAGCTTGGTGGATCGAACCAATCTGGCTCAACCAAACTTTGGTGGCAAGTCATCAAACCTGGCCAAGACGCGCTTTGCCTATGACACCGAAACAGACCAGTCACGGCAACGTGGGGCCTACACGCCACCCCGTGTCGCACGAGCACAAGTGGAGCCGGAGCGGACCTGGGCTTGCCTCTTTGCTGTGCTTGACACCAATGTTGCCGTCGAACCGGCACAAATGCGCGACCTGCTAGATCTGCTGAATCATTATCGCGGGGTGACAGTTGTCATTCCCCGCACAACCATGTTTGAGCTAGAGCACATCAAAAAACGCACAGACCCGGCTGGCCATGCCGCTCGCAGCGCCATTCGGCTCTTTAACGCCCGCCTCAGCAAGCGTGACCCGCAATTCCGTCTCCAACGTATCAAGGAAGAACTCAATGCCCAAAAGCTCAAGCTCTCGCAAGACCACCGCATTCTCGACTGTGCCATGTTCTTCCAGGAGCGCGTGGCGCAATACAAGGTCGGGATATCGTTTTGCCCGTGGAGGTTTTCTTTCTTCCTGAGATACACGGCATGGTGCTTAGCTCATCGGTTTGTCTTGAAATGATGATAGCTTGGTGATCACGTCGTTCTATTGACTGGCGATGTCGGCCTACAAGCCGCCGCCGCCGCTGAACGAGTGGAATGGAACACCGTGCATCAGTTGCGCCGCAATCTCAGTCGGCGCTGATGGATGGCTTTCACTATTTGCAGAAAGTAAACCAAATTTCTACTTGTGGGTGGATGTTAGAAAGAAAAAGAAGACGAGCAAGGATCCAATGCATGAAATGTGTCGATTGTAGCTGCTTGTCTGAATCCAAATTTAAAAGCGCAACGATCCGCGCCCGGGTAGTTGTTCACCATCCAGCGTGAGTGACCAATTGGACGAGCAAAGGCGATGAAAATGGAAGCGACGAAAATGGATGAAAATGGATGCAACAGCTTTGCACAAACAAGCACATGATCATATCCCCAACTGACTGATTTGCGCCTAGTCGCGCGACTCGTAGAGGTAGAGGTAGCCCAAGTCAAACGGGGGCTTGACGCTCTTGGCCACCTTGCGATCGTTGAAGATGAACCAGTCATCGCCCTTCCGAATGTGACAGATATAGTGACCACTTTGGGCCGCCGTTCCCATGTGACTGATGATCGCCTTGAGACGATAGCCTAAACCACATGAAGCAAATGCAAAAATCATTGTGCAAGCCGAGCATATGAAAGGAGTCAGCCACTTGCAAAAACAGTCCACGCTCGAGGCGAAGGAAGGTTAAAAAAGTGCAAAACAATTTGGATGAATAACAGCTTCTTGAGTCACGTACGGCCAGTGCCAGGTGCAAACTGCGGCTGGTCGGTGTTTGCGCGCTCAGAAGCAGGGGCCTCTGTGCTCGGCGCACTCTGCCGCAGATCTGATTCCTGCGGCAATATAATCCAACACCACGAAAAGGGATATCGTGAGCAGGGGCGTGAGTAGGTCAGGCAGTCCAGCAGTCCAGAGACTCAAGACAGATTCAGACAGACACAAGACATGGAGTGGTGTAGCAACAAAAGCATACCGGATCAGCCATCTCGTCAGGATGATTAAAGGCCCAATCGGCCGCGCGCTCCAAGTTGTTGTCCTGAGTGCAAGTGGCAAAGATATCAGTTGTGTGTATATTGCGGGCCGATGGCTTTTTGATGACGCGTTGGACCCTACCGTCTCACGAAGAGCGCGACGGGCCTGCTCCGTGGAAAAGCCCATGGCCTCGAGCATGCCCACAGCCTCGGCGGGGGGCTCAGCAGCGCCCCCGGAGGTATTTGCTCCAGAGGCTATCGCGGTTCCGGGAATGGTGAAAGGGGCCGCAAAGTCGGCATCATCCTGGTGAGCAAAAATCCACTCCATGGCTGCTTCCACGCCTGCCAAGGTGTGGAGGGGTTGTTGTGTGAGAGTCGATTATCGAGACGGATTATCGAGTCGGAAACAAAGTCTGGGCCGGCTTGCATGTTCCGTACTGTTGGGATTGTGATAAACCGCTCGCTTGCAGCCCTCCTCGGCAAATCCCATGGCAGCCAGTTGCGCCAGCATGTCGGGATCGAGTTCAATGGCAGGTGCTTCTTCAGCGGCTGGCTCTTCCTCTTCTGGAAGCAGCTCTTCATTGGGGTCGTGCTCCGAGGCTGCAAATGGCGTCAAATCCATCTCCTCGGGCATGGTGATTGAGGCATCTACATCCCAACGATGCACGTGTAAGTGAAATCAATCAAACTTGTTCTTGGACACGCCCGGTTTGCGCTTCCAGCAGTTGAGGTCATACCGCGTTTTTGAGGGGTCCAATCATCTCCGACGAAAAATTTGTCGACTGCCATGAGAAGGTACTGTCACAGCGTTGATTTGAATGACATGAGGAGAAAAGAAACGAGAAACATGAAAAATGAAAGGAAACCCGAGCACAACAACAAAATCCAAGCATCCAAAGAATGTGACGAGTCGACGCACGCGCGGGAAGGACTTGAAACGTCGCTGCAAAGTGGCGGTTGTCTTGGCTTTGATGGCAGGGCTGTACCAATCCTCAATGACCTGTGAAATCAAAGCAGGCACCCGTCTCCATAAGACAAGCAAAATACGTAACGAGAGATGGCCTGAGGGTGTCTTCGTGCCTGATACGCGAGGGGCGCGTGCCATACCGCGGGAGCAAAGACGGAGTTGAGGATGCGATCAAAGCGCAAAACCAGCGGTACGTTTTCGCCCTCCACCTTGGTCTTGTTTGCCTTGGCCTCGGCCAGCTTTTGCTGGTAAGCTTGGTGTTCAGTCCAGTTTTCGGAATCCTCGGGGCGCACCGGTAAATGCAGTTGAGCGTCGTGCTCCGTGTGATAGCACCCCCCCCCCCCCCCCCAAAAAAAAAAAAAAAAAAAAAAAACAGGGAAAAAAAAAATGAGTCACGCAAAGAAGGCGCGCGGCGCACGTGTCGGGACGGGTTTGCTTGCCTTTTTGCTCGATGTGCAGGTCGTCTTGACCTCGGTGTCAAACTCAAAGAGCTGCCCAAAGTCGGCACGGCCATACTTTTTGCTATACGCCGACAGCTTTGTCATCATGTAGGACCAGAACTCGGAGGCATCTTGTTGGCTGCCGGTGGAGAATTCTGGGTGATCGCGGCAGAGTGCATGCTTGGTCATTTTAGGATCAATGCCATCCTGTTCCAGTTCAGCATCTGCTGCAGCGTCTGAAGCTTCAGGTTGGTTGGAATATTGGCCCGACTGAAGGCCGTGTCCAAGCTTATGGCTGTCCAAACCCGGCATGACCCAACAAAAACAGCATGAGAACATGTCAAGAAAAGAAAAAAAAAGAAGAAGAAAAAAAAAGGTCGAAGAAGAAAAACAAAGTAGAAGAAGGAGAAGGAGAAGAAACAAAAAGACAACTCGACTACGACAGGCAAGTGGTGCTCACAGTTGCAGTTCGAGGTCAACGGTGGGGTCGGCTTGACCATGGTAGGCCTGGATGGCTGAACCCTGAAACTCATCCACAAGCTCGCGAAGGCTGAACAAAACCTGCAACACCGAGTTCATGTAGCAGCTTTATTTGGGGAGGATGCAACGCGTGAGTTTGAGTCAAGCTGCAGGATGATATCATGGTGCATTTCAAAATAACGTGCGCGCGGCAAAACCATGGAAGGGCAAAACATGGAAGGGCGCCCGCGAATGGGGTTTGATGCTTGACATTGGGACAAACCTGTTGCCAAGGTTGCGCATGCCAGTAAAGCCGGGGCCAAAAGCTGGTTCAAGCTTGACGCCAGCTTCGGTGATACGGTCAAATTCAAACTTGAGTTGTTCGTTGGCCTCAATTTCCATCTCAGCCATGGACTTTGCAGTTTTGCGTTGCTCCTGGATGTTGATGCCAAAGTGCGCCAGATGCTGACTCAGCTTGGGGTCAAGGACCATGTCATCCTCTTCGTACGAGTAGACATCGGCGCCCTCGGGGGTGATGGTGCCCAGCTTCACGGCCAGCGGATACTTGGTCTGCTCGTAGTGGTCAATGGCGTGGTTGTTGCCACCGGATCCTATCCAGCAGATCAAGCAGAAAAGGTTGGGTGACCGGACCACGGGATTGCGGTCGTGTTTCGACCCTTAAACAGGTCTGACGGCCGAGCTGCGGCAGCGGGACGTTACCATCGTAGAATTTGCGGCCACATAGGATGGTGCCATCGGTCAAGTTGAGCCAGAGATTATCCGAAATGTCACACTTGGCGCACTTGTAGCCACTGGGAGGAACGCGAACCCCGTTGTCCAGCTGCAGGAGATTTTCAGCGTGCCTAAGGGTTCATACCCAAGTGAATGAATGTGGCCAAGGGCCAAAGGCGCCTGTGATGGGCAAGAAAAGCGGGGCACTCACTTGGAAGGCAACCGCTGTTCTTCCCAGGCTTGGGCCTGGCGAAGCAAGGTCAGGCAAGGTTAAAGTGCAGCAAAGTGAGTCCAGCGAGTGACCACCCGGAGGCCGAGGTTGGGATGCTCATGCTGACCTGCTGCTGGAGCGAGGCAGAGCTGGCAGCAATGATAGCGGCCGCACTGTCTTGGACGTGGGCGGGCAAGCTGGGGTCTTCGAGCGTGATCAGCTTGAATTCTGGCAAGATGGCCACGGTGTATGTGTAGACAAGATCATAGGCATCCGAGTCTGCTGCAAAGCCATCCGGGGTGCCTAGGCCGGGGTGTGGAAAACGTTGAGCTCTCCGTCGAGTCTAGTCATACCAAGGGCGGGTGGCTGCATCATACGAACCAATGGCCATTTTGGTGGGCTTTTTTTGTGGCGGTTCCTGCTCGGGCGCAGGCTTCTGTGTAGGGTCAGGACATGAGCTGTGCAGCCACGGCGCAGCAGGCGGGGCAGGACAGGGGGAACGAGGTGGTGGGCGGCAGCGAGGGGTGAGCGGCCATACCTCAACGCGTTCGGCGCGCAGATGCAGAAAGGTGCGCTGGCCCGTGACCTCGTGGTACGTCGCCACGGCCGCGCGGCCAAAGCCAATAAAGGTCTTCATGCACACATACAGGCCATCGGGCGATTCCTGTGACGTGGCGGTGGCAGCAGGGCGGCGGCAGAAAAGGTGAGGGTGGCCGGGCAGGTAAGCGGGTCAAGAAGGGAGGAACAGCCTGTACCGGTGTGTCAAAGGTCAGGGTGCACTGATCCTTGAAGACGCTGTCACCCCCAGCCGGGGTGCGCACGTCGTCAAACTCGGCCATCGTGCCTGGACGTCTGCGAGAAAAAAAAAAATACCAGGAGCGGCGGCGTCAGCAACGCAATTGGCAGCGTGTCACGGCGGTTGGCACGCCAGTGTCACTCACCGACAGTCACAAAGTGGCAGCAGCAAATGCAATCTCAACCAACGGCGCGGACAAGCCAGTCGTCTCCAGCCAGATCAGAACAAGCTCCACTGGCACACACGGAAGGAGGCGTCACTGAACAGTTCAGAAAAATCATTAAAGAGAGAGGAGTTTGAGAGAGAGAGTTTGAAAGAGAGAGAGAGTTTGAAAGAGAGAGAGAGTTTGAGAGAGAGAGAGTTTGAGAGAGAGTTTGAGAGAGAGAGAGTTTGAGAGAGAGTTTGAGAGAGAGAGAGGAGGGAGAGTTTGAGAGAGAGAGAGTTTGAGAGAGAGTTTGAGAGAGAGAGAGAGTTTGAGAGAGAGAGAGTTTGAGAGAGAGAGAGAGAGAGGAGGGGGGGAGTTTGAGAGAGAGAGAGAGAGTTTGAGAGTTTGAGAGAGAGAGTTTGAGAGAGGGAGTTCGAGAGAGAGAGTTTGAGAGAGAGAGAGTTTGAGAGAAGACCACTTTCTTTCAACAACTTCTCAAACATATACCTATATAAACCGTAAAACATCTCATCTTCTTACCACTTTGATACTCCATAACATTAATTAAGATTTAAATTTACGTCAACTTCTTCCGTTCTATCTTCAATAAGTCAATACTTGTCTGCATCTACTGTGATATTTGCTGCATCTTCTTTGAAATTTGCCGTTTGACTGCTGGATTCGAGAGCCCATCGACTTGACTTCGACAGGATGGACGTGGACGTGGCAGAATGGCAGTCGTTCCTGCTGGACGAGTACGTCAAGTTTAGCAACGTGAGTCTGATCGTGGGGGTTGGCTCTGGCTGCTTCTGCTGCTACGGCATGGTACCATCACTACTGCCTAAAGGTGGTGGTGGTGGTGGTGGTGGTGGTGGTCGAGCTGAGTTGGTGGGGCTTGGTCGTCGTCTCCGCTGGGGGCGTCGGGGATGTGTTGGCAGCGTGTCTGACGCGCGTTTTTTGGGTGGCTTTGCATAGACAATCGTGCGGGATGCAGAGGAGGTTTTCTCAGAGTATCCCGGCCTGATGGGGACCATCGTGTTTGGTGCCATGACGGTCGGCTTGGTCTTGGGTCGCTGCTGCTGCGGCCCCAAGCGATCGGCTCAGGCCACAAAGCCCAAGAAGGAGTAGAAGACACAGTCTGCAGAGGGCACGAGAAACGCCGGGCGACAAACCACCTCGTCTCCAACGGATCAATGGGGTGGCTTCGGGTATTTTTGGCATCCGATTCAGTAGCCTTCAGATTGAGGTGCTCTGGCAATCACATGGTGACTCTCCCCGCACCTGCACTTGCCTGGCCTGATCCACTGGCTGCTGACCTGCCACGTCCTGAGTAAGGACTGATGTACCTTCCTCTCGCCCGGTCCCTCCCCCTTTGCAAGAAAAATTGAACCTCGAATGGATCCAAAGTTGACGGGGGCTCACACGCCTCCCTCCTTCCGGCCGATCACACCTCAATCCACTTCTGGTCGAAGAGGGCGACGGCTCACGCTGCACCGTCCCTCCTTGACTCCCCACCCCTGCCTCCGCCTCGAGCCTTTACCAGGCTCTTGTTCTTTTCCAAGTGGTTTTTGGCCATCTTCCCTCCCCTGTCTTTGATCATCTGACGCCAGCCCCCTCTGTCACTGCCTCGCTGCTTTGCTCCCTGGCCTCGGTTTGTCTATCTGTCTCATTCTGCCCCTCCATCTCTGTGTATCTACCCAGCCGTCTCCATCTCTGTCTTGTTCTGCCTCTGCCTCTGCCTCTGTGTGTGTGTGTGTGTGTGTGTGTGTGTGTGTGTGTGTGTGTGTGTGTGTGTGTCTTCCTTCGTCTCTGTCTGTGTGTGGCTCTCGCCTCTGTGTGTCTCTGTCTCTGTCTCTGTCTCTGTCTCTCTGCGTGCCTCTTGACTCGGTGTGCCTCCCTCTGTGCTCTCACTGTGCTTCTCTCTGTTCGATCTCTGTGTGTCTCTGTCTCTGTCTCTGTGTGTGTCTCTGTCTCTGTCTCTGTGTGTGTCTCTGTCTCTGTCGCTGCGTCTCTGTCTCTGTCGCTGCGTCTCTGTCTCTGTCGCTGCGTCTCTGTGTCTGTGTCTCTGTGTCTGTGTCTGTGTCTGTGTCTGTGTCTGTGTCTCTCTCTCTTTCTCTCTGTCTCTGTCTCTGCCTCTCTTTCTCTCTCCGGAATGCTCCGTCTTTCTTTCCCTTTCTTTCTTTCTCTCTCTCTCTCTCTCTCTCTCTCTCTCTCTCTCTGTCTTTCTCTCACTGTCTCTCTCTCTCTCTCTGTCTCTCTCACACATTTTTTTTTGAATCACACACGCAAATTTGGATTTCAATTTGAGGCCGAAATTGGTCGCTGGCCTCTGTCTGTGTGTGAGTGTGTGAGGGGTGAGCCCTCCTGGCGTCGTTTGGACTGGCGTGGGAATGGCATTTTAGAAGCGGCTTTGCTACTGGGGTGAGGTGAAGGTCGACGTTGTCTCATTATTAGGAGGTGGCATGCTTGATTGCTGGCAGGAAATTGACCGTTGTCAGGCTGGTGGGACGGGGACGCAGCCACTTGGAGCTAGGAGCTGCAAGGAGCGGGCGTCACGGGCGTCACGGGTGTCACGGGTGTCACGGGTGTCACGGGCTCTTGGGACACGCAGACACGGTCAAGCGCCATGGCTAGCAACGATGCACCGCCTGCCTTTGTGGTGGGCCAGCGCGTGTGTGCAAATGAGCACTTTGCCACGGTTCGCTTCGTCGGAGACGTTGGTGATACTGGTGCGTTTTCTGGATCGATAGAAGTGTGAATGCCTTGACAACCCGCGCCCGTGCCGACGCACAGACATTGTGCTGCCCGCCTGAAGAGGTTTCATCCTTCTTGTGGCATCATCAAAATGGCTAGGTTTGTGGATCGGCGTCGAGTGGGATGAGCCCAGTCGTGGCCGCCACGATGGCGCCCACAAGGGCGTTCGCTACTTTATCACCGAGTACGTTCGAACTGCAGCACTCATTCATCTTTTCAGCTGCGCCTTGCACTTGCTCCACTTGTCTTCTTCAAGCCTGTTGGGTCTCAATCTCTGCTTAAACGGGGATCGTTCTCCCGCTTGGTTTCCCTTGCGCCTCGAATAGGAGTGACAGTCCACACGCTGCATCCTTCGTGCGCCCGAAAAAGTTGTCGCCCGGCCTGGATCTCGTGGCCGCCATTGTTGACCGCTACACGCTTGCCTCTGACGTGACAGCTGACACGCGCTTGCATGGCGTGGCCGTCGAGCTCGTTGGTGAAGCCAAGGTCTCCGACTCCCTGCAAGCCCTTCCCGCACTCCAGGAGGTTGTGGTGACAGGATATCCAGTCAATGATACCGTCCTGCCCAATCTGCATGACCACCTCAGTGGTTTGCAGGCCCTTGACATTAGCCGGACGCTCATCTCCAATTGGGGCACCGTTGCCGACATTGTGCGCCAGCTGCCCGCCCTCCGCAGCCTCACCGTCAAGTTGGTTCCTTTTCCTGTTGGCTTTGAGACTGGTCTTCCCCGAACCACGCCCTCAGCAGTTTACGTCCCCCCCTTTCTTCTTGACACAGTGAGAATCGGATGGCTCCGGTTCCAGAGACGACGGATTGGCATCAAGGTGCCTTTCAGAACATCACACGCTTCCTGGTGTGCAAAACAAACCTCACCCCGGCCGAGGTATGATTCCTGAGATAGCAATCTTGTGTTCCCGCTCTTTCAATCAAGTCTCGAGTCCTGTGGATTCAGAGCATCGCCGTCACTTTTTAAACCCTGACCGTGCGTGTGGCTATCAGGGCACCCGGCTAGTGCAAGCCATGCCCAACCTGACTGAAGCTCATTTTTGTGAGCTCGGCTGGACCGCCATGCCGTACGCCGAGTCGCAACCACAGCCGGCACCCCTCTTGTTCCCAGGCTAACGTAGCGACTGCCAACGATTCGGCCACCTCATCATTGCATGTTTTCTTATTTTTCTGCTGGGATGGTACTGTTGTTCTTCATGACAGCTTTTTACCGAAAGATTGCCCAAAGCTGGCCATGTTGAATTTGTTTGGAAACAAGCTGGCATCCTGGGCACCGGTGCGCTGACCTCGCTGGTAGTTGACCCTTTTCTCTTCTTTGACTTATGCGTGGCCATGGTTTTGAAATTCGATGCTTGCTTCAGCTTTTAGCGCTACTGAGAACAGGCCACATGGATACGCTGCTCGCCAACCACAATGAACTTCCCGATCTGTTCGATGATGTCGGCAGTTTGAGCAACGGAGCCCTGCGCGTCCTCTCTCTCGGGTACGTCCTATTTTTTAACATTCGAATTTTTTTTTTTGGTTATTTTCTCGTCGGTCCCTGACCGGCATCTGATTTGTTCCTGCTTACGCGTTCATCCTTGACCTTGCTTGGCCCTTTCACAGGCACAATCGGTTGTCTCGCTGGCGTACGCTGTGGTTTCTGAGCCATCTTCAGGGTCAGTCACCGCCTGTCCTCGCTGATATCCGTCCAGCTTAATTTGAGGTTATCCCGACCCTGACCCTGTTTCTTGTTGCAGGCTTGGCCGACGTGCGAGTTCGTGGCAATACCTTTGCGAGTGACATGACCGAAGCCGAGCAGCGCAAGGGTGTGATCGTGAATTTACCTGGTGGGTGTTCATGCTCCGGCAACAAAGTAGCAGCCCGAGGTCCTGTCCGAGGTCCTGTCCTGAACCTGGGACCGCATTCCTCTCAATCTAGCTGCGGCCATGAAACCGTAGGAGTCAATCTCATCAATGGGAGTGGCGTCTCCAAGCGGGAACGACAAGTAGCAGAACGCTTTTACCTGACCCGTTATGCTCAGGTATGTCTCTCGCAGTTGTTCTTCTGGCTTTGGCAAACGCCACCAACTCAACCCCTTGCATGTGTGGTTTTTAGGCTTTTCACACCTCGCGATCCAGCCCCGAAGCGACACAGCAATTTGAACACACCCACCCACGTTTTGCCGCGTTGGTTGCAGGTCGGCAAAGCGCATCAACTTTTTAATGCCAAGGCAGACCTGTGGCAGTTGGTCTCTTAGTGTAATCCCATTCTCACCCTTGTGTCCACGGGGTTTGTGTGTGTAGAGCATGGTGAGCCAGAGGTCATTCACGTGAAGCAACAAAACTGTCTTCAGGATACGCTCCTGGCTATTGACTGGCGCATCAATCAGGCCACCAACACCCGACTTCTTCTGACGGCCGATACAACCCTACGCCAAGCGTTACGCACCCTGGCCATCCATCTGCACAAACCTCTATCAGAGCTGCTGAGCGCCTCCATCTTGTTTCATCAAGCGGTGCGCAAAAGCTGCTCTTGAACATTGTGCTGGCTCGGCGCATCGTGGCTCACCGGTCCTGTCCGCGCCACAAATACTTTGTCAACACAATTAGGAATTGCCGGACCAACATAAAACTCTCGATTACTATCACATCACCAGCAACTCGATTGTGGATGTGCATTTGAGCGCCATGCCCATCTAAACCGCCTATGAAAATATATTCTGAACGTTCTTCAACCCCCCGGACATATTGGCACAAGGCCGAGACTTAAACTTGCCGAGCTCATTTGCTTTGGGCGCATCAGCTTAGCACACGCTCTGATCGTATTTGACGCCCATGGAGCCGGGCACGCTGCGTTGTTGGCGGTCTTCCACGGTAGCATAGGACCCGCGACGATATGCGTGGGGGTTTTCTGTGGCGGGTGAATGCGAGCCAAGCTCGAGCAGGGCCACCTTGTCGGTAAATGTCAAATCCTCTGGGTCCTGCTGCTGCTTTGTGCGTAGGCGTGCGACGCGCTCTTGCAACTCGGCACGCTTGGTGGCCAGGTTGTCATGGCTTTTTTGTTCCAATTGAAGAAGTTGCATTAGATGAGCATCATGCATCCACTCCTCGGTCAGTGCTTTCTCATCCAGTTCCACGCGACGGAAGCGCCCTTGGCGCAACATGTACGCCAAATCGGCGGTGCTGGGCAGAGAAGTGATGCCCCGCTTAAGGCTCATTTCCAACCGCAAGCGCTCCAGGCGCCGGTTGGCGGCCACAGTCTCAGAATCCAGGTGTGCCTGCAAGCGTCGGGTTTCACTATCCATCTCGCCAGTCGGCACAGGAGGGGTCGGGGCTTGACTCGTGGGTCGTGATGCAGTCGCGGTTGCCAAAGGGCCCGCACTCGACACGGAATTGGGGCGCGACCTGCTCCCATCAGTCGAAAGCTGGTGGTGCAAGGCAGTCCCGCCCGTTGCGGGTGACAGCATTGACTGGCGTGCGTTGGCCGAGCCGGCGCGACTGCGCCACAAGTTGCCCACGTCCACGGAGTGCCGTTTGACCAACTCGCGTTTGTTGCTCGGGGCAGACACGGTGGCAGCTCGGGGGCGCCGATGTGCAGCCGTAATACCAGTGCTACTGGCACCGTCCTCATCGCTTGCCTGACCACCATCACCGAGTTCAACAAAAGTTTGTAGGTTCTCGTCCCACCGACGGTGTTGCGAGCCGAGGCCCTGCTGCAAAAGCTTTTCCACCTGTCGGCGCAGAGCGTCAATCTCGGCCGCTTGGCGATGAAACGCCTCGTTGATCTTGGATTGCGGCATAAAGACCTGTGTGGCCGCTTCCAGCTCGGCCACGTATTCCTCGTCGATGCTTTTCAAACGCGCCTCAAGCGCTTGCTGAGTGATGAAATCTGGGGTCTCCTTGTTGCGCAGAGCATGCAATTCGTTTTCCAAGGCTGCTAGCTGGCTCTTGAGCTGCTCTTCCCGCTGGCGTTGCGCCTCGAGCTAACAGATTGAGTGATACACGGTGAGGGCAGTTGGACCAGTCTCTGCATTTTGTCTGCCAAGAATGGACGCTCAGGTCGTACCAGGGCTAAAAACTGTTGCTGCTGCGCTTCTAAGTGAGAGGTATCTGGCATGCGAAGGCGCTGCAACTCCTAAGGTCAACGCAGAGCATGGAGTCAAGCACACTTGGTGTGAGGAGAATCGGGGGTGTTTGATGATCGATGGTCGCCATGAGAGGGCGTACCTGAAGTAGATCGGCCGAGCTGGCTTGGTTTTGGCGGCGTTCGCGTTCAAGTTCCATGCGCAGCATCTCCAGACGAAGCTCGGCGGCGGTTTGATCCTGTCGTGCTTCGAGATTCCGCTGCAACAGGTTGCGCCGAAGTTCTTCTTTTTCGGCGGCATGCTGGGCAGCCGTTTGCCACGAGTCGGCAACGGATTCCACCTCGTGGGAGTCGGGCAACGCTCCAAACGATGCCAGGCTGCGAATGGGTGCCCTAGCCTCGACTTCGCCAGCATGCTCTGCAAGGTCCGCATTAACACAAGATTGAGATGCGGGCTTTAGCAACATAACAGAAGCAGAGAGAACGTGTCGACGGCAAAGAAGGACAAGACCGAAAAGGTATAAAAAAAGAAGAAGAAGAAAAAAAAAAAAAGCCAAAACGTGGCTGGGCGACGCAGCGGTCATGGGGAGGGCATACCTGGGGATGACTGACCATCGTCACGGCGCTTGAGGAGGGCCAGTTCACGACGCAGGCGCGTGACTTCTCGCATGGCATCAACGAGTTCGCCTTCAAAATGGGCATCGTTAGGTTTGTGCTGTTGCGTGCGGAGAGACTCGACACGCTGCTTGGCGGCGGTGAGTGCCTGCTGCAGGCGTGCGCGCTGTGTATTGCCAGGTGAGGGTGGTGCAGGGCCATTCGGCATTCGAATGGAGGACGAGGGCTGATGTCCACGCTGAGAAGCATAGCGAGCGTGTTGTGCCGGGTGATTTTGGCGTTGGCTGCCTGGGCCAGGGCGTCGCGTCGAGGCATCGTGCCGTCCATAGGGCGGGGCCGCGTGTCGCTGGGTGGCGCGTCGGGTGCGGCGGCGGTCGGGGGGCAGGCGAGGATCTTCCAACTGGGTGGACCAGGTGTTATGGTCAATGTAGTAAAGGCCAACCTCTGGATCGACGGCCATTTCCCATCCGTATGGAAGTTCGGGGCCTTCACACTCTTCAAAAGTGTGCGGCTTGATCTTGGCTTCGCGCGGATCCACCCAGGAGGAGGTATGGGCGCGGTGATCCAGGAAGTAAGTCCGCCCTGAATGCGCATCCACGCGTGCCTCGATGTGTGACGGCAGGTCACGCGACACTGGTCGGTACATGGTGGCGGTGGCGATGGTGGCGGTGGCGATGGTGGAGGTGACGATCGGCTCAGATCGCAGCGGCAACGCAACGCGACTCGCTTATCACTTCTCGGGTGCAATCTGGCCAACCCAATCAAACAAAGCACAAAGCTGGCTAGATCAAGCTGCAGCTGGGCCTACACCAAAGCAAGCCAATCAGCAGGAGGGCAAAACCGGACCACGCACTGCTGCCGCGGCGAGAAGACGCTGCCATTGCCTGTGCCAGTCGATCGGTGAAGCCCCTTTGGCAAATTCTCGAGGTCAGTCAGAGAAAAATTTCAGATTGAGTGTGGCTGAGAGACCTGCAGTGAAGCGTGATGCAGAGGCAGAGAAGCGCTTTGAAAACAGTTACAGCCTAAGGATGAATTCCGTGCGACATCAGAGAACAGCGTACAGGGCGATCAGACCTCAGAGAGAGCGTTTCCGGAAGAGATGTACCTTAGAGATCAAGACTGTTGTGGCTGCACTATGGCGAAGTCAAAGTGTGATTTACAACACATTTCAACTGTATGGTTGAACATGTGAAACACAAGTTTGAGAGTTTTTAGAGAGAGAGAGAGAAGGAGAGAAACAAAAATTTAATTGTTTCACTTCATCATCGACTGCGCCTTGACCACTTGCTTGACTTTTGGGCATGCACTTGGGATTTGGTCTGATTGGAAGTGGGTAGGGGGAGAGATGGATGCCGCAGGGTGCTGGATTGAACGTTTCTGGCAGAGAGCAACAGACAACTTTTCACGCGAAAAAAAAAAGAAAAAAAGGACAGACAACAGAAGGGCACATGGGAGAGGGCTACAGCGAAGAGTTACTCCTTGTAGTTGATGGGCTTGTGGCGGCGGGTGCGCGTGGTGGGCAGGTCACGGACGGGGCTTTTGCGGCCTGGGTTTTGGAAGCGAAGCTCCTTGGGAATTTGGGATTGATCCGGGCTCAGGAGCTCCTCTTCGTCCGACTGGTCATCTTCATTGTCATCGTCCGACATCAGTCCATTGGCAACATTGGCAGCCGGTGGGCGGCGCGACTTGGTTGTCTTGGGTGCAGGGGTGGCTTCATCGCCAGCCTCCTCACCCTCATCCTCACTGAAGATACCACCGGTCGCGCTCGCTTCCATGGCTTCCCGCTCCGACTTGTGTTGAGCCAGAAGCTCACGAGCTTTGTCAACGGCCGACTCGGTGACTTCCGCGGCCTTCTTCACCGCCACGGTTGGTGCTGTGGGGGAAGCTTGCGTCGTAAAGTAGCTAACACGTCGGACAACATGGGCATTCAGACCAGGATTAACCAAGCAAAGTACCAGGGGCTTGGGCACCGTGGCGCACTGGCTGGAGATTGGAATCGATAGTGAAAACGAGAGAAAGTGGGAGCCGCGCATACCGGACGGCGAGGGAGAGGATGACAGACGCAATAAAGTAACCACCGCAGATGGCATTGGCGCTGGGAGTGTCTACAATAAAACGGGGGTATGACACGCTCAAGGGTGAGCATGTAGTGTCACTTGATTCAGTGCCGCAGCCGAGGAAGGTTAGGAGAGGCGAGCGGCACTCACCCTTGGGCACGCTAGCAAAGTTTTTGAGCCAGTAGGAGAGGAGCGTGGCGGTAATGGCCGTGTTGAGCACATCCTCACCCACGTTCCAGGACGCACGGGCAGCCACAAAAATCTCCCCCAGAAAGAGGGCCGTGTAAATGGGGGCGCTGCGGTTGATGAGCCAAGCGGCAGTCACGTCGGCGAGCTCGTCGGAGCGTGCAGTGGCCTGGATGGCCAGATTTTGCGAGAAAACCAAAATCAGGGTGGCGACGGCGGCGGGGCCCGACCAGACGCCAAAGAAGCTATCCCGAAGAGCCAGTGCGTAGCCTCGGCGACCCATCATGTCGGCCACAAAGGCAACAAGAAAGTAGAGCGCCTGGCTCACGGCCGTCCAGCGCACGATCAGAGCGGCCAAGAAGGGCTGGGCCCCCAACACACCGTCCTCATGGACACCTGATGCAGTCACACGCGTCAAAGCGTAGCCTAAACACGCGAGCGGCAACGCAAAGTTTGACCCGGCCACACCGAGTGAGGAGGTTGTCATTGGAAAACCAACAACAACAACAACAGAACAAAAAAAAGAAAAAAAGAACCGACAGTGTGTCGAGATGGGCTAGCTTGGGGAAAGGGCATGGCGCGAACCTACCAGCCATGAGGGCAGTGACGCCGAGCGCCACCGCATGGACGCTCATACTGACTTCGACAGACACCATGGTTGCTTTTTCGGGGCACAACACCAGACCTATTGGATTCAAAAGCCGATATGAGATACAGAGGAAAGCACAGGGCTTAGCCGTGCACACGACGCTTGACAATGCCATGGACATCAAGCAGGCGTGGTCCACAGCATTGGACAACCCGAGTCAGGACCTGCTACATGCGGGTGCCACGCCCCAATTTTCCAAACTTTATACTCAACCCCCTCAAACTCAGCGTCTGTTGGTCCTTCACCCCATCAACCGGCGTTTTTGCCTGCCCAGTCACGGGACCTCTTCTCCCCCCTCATACCACCACCACCACCATCATGCACCTCCAAAGACGCAGAGACGGAGAGGAGGCGAGCGCGCCACGGGGTGACGGGGCATGGCATGGCAGTCGGGGCGCGAGCGTACCGCACACACACACTTGTCTTGTTGGAAAAAAAAAAATTAAAAGTAAGAGAGTGTGGTCTGGGGTGGGTGTAGTTTTAGAGAGTGCGGGAATTATGAGAAAAACGGCAGAGGGAGAGGGTTGAGGCGCTTCAACGAATGGGTGTTTGAAAGGGGAAAATCCCTAGGTAGCAGAGAGATGTTTGATTGCGTGACTTGGATTTAGAGATTGTGAGGGACACGAGAAAACTACGAGAGAGGCGAAACAAGGCTTTTGCCGTTACAAGAGCAAAAAACGTCAGCAGTTTTTTTTTTGAAAGACAAATCGCCCCTATGGGATGAAAGCCCTCTGCAGTTTAGTCGCATCAGTCAAAAGTTCTGGATGGCTGCATAACCATGCAGTTGGGCCTGCTTCGTGCTGAGGATATCGGGCTTGTGCCAACGCTTCCCCAACCCGTTTCCATCTTATTCAGCCCGCGATCGATCCATCTCGAGCGCAGCCTTACTTTTTAAAAAGTTCGCGAAAGGCGCCAACATCAACGAAAATTGTTGTATAGCTCCAGCAGCTAAAAACAACACCTCCACGTATACAAATCTCACCATCGACAGGAATGTCTGACAATAGCCACTCCTTATTGTATACAACTACCCTCTAAAGTTCATTTGCATTAGAGTCTGAAGTGTGGCTTTGGTCATACTATCAAGAGCATAAAGTGTAGAACTTATCACACTATCGTAGGCCAACTCACTGTCCCATATTTTCTCGACACACACACACACACACACACACACACACACACACTCTCTCTCTCTCTCTCTCTCTCTCTCTCTCTCTCTCTCTCTCTCCGTGTGTTTGTGCGGAAACGGCAGGGCGCAAGGTCTGACCCGGGGCGGGGACGATCCAGTGGCAAGACGTTGTGTAGCGTCGTTTGATTCACGTGTGTGAATGCGCTGATAAGAGGCTTGGTTGACACCGTTGCCGACTGTTGGGACCTGTGCCCTTTTTTTTTCCAGGGTCGATCAAGGGGTGCGACCCTGCTGTTGATGCCGCGCAGGACGTGTGAGCATATCACGCAGCCATTGTGAATGCGCGGCCTTTTTGCCAGGCGATCGCGCGCGTCTGCTGTGTACTTGCATTCAAGGATTGATTACAAATACATGCGGATATGACCGAGCGTGAGGTGGACGCGCTCATTGGCGCTGCCGTGCAGGCCGCCCTGGCCAATGATGGCACGGTCTTGCAAGCAACGAGCCAGCTTGTGGGCCTCTTCAAGGATCTATGTACCGGGCACACCGAAGCCATGCAGACGGATGCTCGTAAGGCCCTCACGACGGTCGTGGGCAACGCTCGTCGCGTTGCGGCTGCCGAGGCTGATCCCCTGGCTCGCTGCCTGGCCCTCGGTGAATTTGGTCTGAGTTGCACCGCGTTGGCCGATGCTGGTAAGGCTCTGGTGGAGGCTGCTGCCTCAACAGCGGCACCGGCTGCAACACCGGCTGCAGAACCCGGTGTACAAGAGCAGGCGCTGGAGGATATCGATGACGTACAAGGCGATGAACCCGAGCTCTACAACAACTTTTCTGGCAATGCCATGGCAATGGGCATTGAGGAGGAAGAGGACGACGACGATGATTTCGCGACTGCCGATGATGAAACGGCCACCGCCCGCCTCGCTGTTGCATCGGCCTTACCCCCGCTGGAGGATGAGATCCAAGACGTTGTCGACATTATCCTGCACGACGCCGAGGAGCTCTTTGGTGCCATTGAACGCTGGGACGTGGCTGATGTCGTGTGCATCACCACCGGCGTTATCCGTGCCCTGCCCACGCTGCTGCAAGAAGCTGACAAAATCGACAGCGATGATGTTGCTCAGGCTCGCCAAGTATGTCTTGCCTACCTTTTCTCTCCTGGCTGGGCCACAGATCAAGTTTTGATAGGTACGCTCTTGCCTGTCGCTTTGATCGGTACACTCACCCCGTTCCAATCCTACTGCTCAGAATGTCGTGGAGAGCTGCGGTGTCATGACAGGTCTGGCCCGTACCGTGGCTCGCAACCCGGACGGAGCCTACCTCACCCCCCAACTTTCAGATGCGCTCTCCGATCTGACCACGGACATCAACGGCTTTGTCGTGGCTTTGAAACGCCACCGCTACCTCGGCACGCAAGACGAAATCTCCTCCGAGGTTCTCATCCAGCGTTGTGAGGGTATTCTTCTCACAAAGCAACAGCCCTCCCCGTACAGGTGCGCGTTGTCCTCATTGCTTGCAGTGTGACATATCGGCAGCAGCTGACATTGCCTGTGACCTCTTGCTTTGGATGGCGACTTGCCCCTGTCATTGCCTCACCAATTTGAATGACCAGTGACGCGCCCAACCCAGAGAAGCTGCAGCGGGTGACCAATCTCTCGCAAAAGGCTGCCATGCATGCCTTGTCCCAGCTCTCCGGCTGTCTGCTGAGCGATGACCCCACTGTCAAAGAAGTTGGTTTCTTGCGTCGGTCCTGCCCTCCGCTCTCTGTGCTCTCCCTTTCGTTCAGTTCCATACCGCCTCAAGCTTCCTCTGGCTTGAACTGCCTCTGATCACCCTGTTCGCCCATGTAGTTGGCCGCACTCTTGGACCAGATCGTGACGCATATTTGCCACCTGCTTGATGCCAGTGATCGACTCTCGCACGGCGTTAATTTACCACCCCGGGCCCACGCCTTTGAGACCTGCCACTTGATTGTGCGCGCTCTCCTGCCCGTGTGCAAACCCGTGCCTCCGGGAGGCAATGGGCCCGAAGTCGGCGCAGCTTTGACCACGCTTCGCAGCAACATGCCCGTCTTGCTCGAGGCCATCAAGCGCCTTGGTGACGAGTGTGACCGCCTCCTTGAGCAAGCCCAGGCCAAGCCGCCCCCCTTGCCCCAGCGCTTCGAGCCAACCTCCGCTGGCATAACCACCATCGGCGTCACCTGCCGCCTCTGCAGCGACAACTTTATCAACACCAAGGGCGAGGTGAGTCTGCGCTTTTTGCTCCAAACTGTTCACGGTCCCACACTCTGCGTCATCTCCATGGCATCCTTTCTGATCCCTCGCGGTGGTCGACATGGTGTAGCCCCTGCGCCTGGGCGATGCAACGCAGGTCACCCTGTTTGAGGATGCAACAATTCAGCAGCTCATGGTCTCGCTCACGCAAAACATCCGAATCCCCGTAACTGACCTTGCCGTGCTCAGCGCCGAGCAAGTGCTGCCAGGCGACCTGGCCGTAGCAGGTAGGGCGTGGATACAGACTGCATCAGGTCATGAGATGCTGCAAGTTCAGCAAAAATCTCATCTTGCGTCTTGTCTTGGTCGTACCCAGACGCACTCAAGCAATCGGAGCTCTACGTGTATAACAAGAACGACAAGCATGACCTACAGAACGAGGTGGCTCTCATCAAGCAGCGCGTACGTCTATGCGCATAACTCGCAGCGCGCCTTTTTCGCGCAGCACATCCAAACCGCCTCGCGCTTGGGCATGCTCTAATCTTCCTTCACTTCTCGCTGCGGTCTACATCAATACACTTCAGCAATTGGCCAAGGCACTGCGTACAAACAAGATGAGCTCCAGCACCAACATCAAACGTTCTGAAACGAAACGTGCTTTTTCGTACGTGGCTTCAACCCGAGTGCAACAAAAGTTGGCTCCCTCTCCTTTCGTGCTGTCTTACGTGATGTATTTTACTTGGGTCTCGCACAGGGAACTCAAGGGGCGATCAGATGAGGAAACGGCGCGTCTGCAACTCATGTCACTGGTCAAGGATGGCCGTTTGACGGTGGATCAAGCCGTCAGCGCCAGCACCATCGCCAACTCGGCTGCCATGGTACGAGTGAGCGTCGCCCGTGGTTTTGTTCTCGTGAACCTGAGCACGCGCACGCTCATTTTGAGCATCTCCTATTTCTCTCCAGCAATTGAGCCTCAAGGCTTCGCATGCGCTCGACATGCCTGCCAACAAGCGGCCAGCGCCTGGGATCCCGCCAGCGCCTGGTATCAACACGGCCTCGGACGAGGACAGCATGTCCATGGCCGCCTTTGCCGCCACGTCCACACGCCGTAAATTCAGCCGCAGCCCAAGCCCCAGCGGCGGGGCCCCTAAGCTCTTTATGGAAGGCTTCTTGGGCAAAGTACGCCTGGCTGCCCTTTTTCTCCATGTGGTGTGATGCTTCCATTTGGTCACCTCGGTCCTACTCTGTCCACAGGAGGGCGGCACCTACCGCACGTGGAAAACGCGGTGGTTTGTACTGACGGACGTAGAGCTGACCTACTTTCGCTCGCCAAGCGTCAAGGTTTGTGAGACCCCCCGCCACCGGTCATGTTGAGTGTACGCCAACGGTTGCAGGGCCCTCTTCTACAAGACGCAGCGCTCGCAACTGTTTTGCACACGCCATTCTTAACCGATCTTGGCTTCCGTCCATGGCTAGGATCCCTTGGGCGTTATTCCTTTGGATGTTTCGTTGTGCTGCAGCCCCGAACCGGATCGCAGTGGACACGGCAATTGCTTTGCTCTCAAGCCCAAGCAGCAAACGGAGCGCGTTTTCTACCTCAGCGCTGCAACGTGTGTTCTCCCGTGCCATCGTGCCCGCCCCTTCTTTTTCATACCAGCTCACCGCGCGCGGATATCACGTGTAGAGAGGCTCAGCGTCGAGCCTGGATGCGCTGCATTGACCAGCTCATCCCTGGGCGTCAGCCATACGTGTCCCAAGTCAAGGCGGTTAAGACTTGCATCCAACATCTGCAGGAATCGGGGATCGCCAAGGAGGACGTGTTTCGGTAAGCTTGCCCAAATCACGAACCTACTGATGGTGTCTGCTCTCTACCACACGGTACGGTTCTCATGAGCCGTCGTTTGGCAGCGTGCCTGGCAATGCGGGTCAAGTTCAAAAGCTGGTGGAAGCCATGCAGACCAAGCTAGAGCTGCCGGCTGACCTTCTGGGCAACCCACACACGTTGGTGAGCTTTATCAAGGCCGTCTTCAAGAATCGCTTGTTGGGTCCGTTTTTGTCCGATGAAGAGCAGCAACTGCTCAGCAAAGCTCTGCAAGAAAGCGCCTCGGACGAAGCAACGCAAGTGTCCAGCGTGCGCCACGCTCTTGAGCTCATGCATCCTCTCGAGGCGGACCTGGTGCTGGCCTTGGGTGAACTTTTGGTCAAGGTGGACGCCCATCAAGCCGTGACCAAGTGCTCTTCGGAAGACCTGAGTCGCTCCTTCGGTGAGTCCCAATGAAAGCGCACCCTTGGCCCTGTCCTTCTCCCTCCTTGCAGCGCACGCCCTGCTCATGCGTGACACTGCACTCTTGAATACTACTTTGCAGGCCCGCTCCTGTTTCCCTCGGCCGAGGAAAGCCAGGCCTGCCGTGCCATCTTTCTTTTGCAGGCGCATCTCGAGGACATGCGCAGTCAAGACTCTGATGCATAGCGCTGGTGCTGTTCACACTTAGCCGAAAGATTCATTCTTATGAGCTTCTAATCCGCCTCCCTGCGCGACCCATGTGGATTGATTGATTATTGTACCTGTTCTGACTTTTTCCTGAGTTTTTCCTGCTTGTCTTCCTATTCCACGGCGGCTCATGCTATTTGGACTCGAGCCCAACGAGTCGCCGGATCGAATCAACCTTGAAACGCACCGCTTATCATACTCTGCTCTACCAAGATGGGCCGTGTCTAATTCTTTTTGACTTCGTGTGTGTGTGTGTGTGTGTGTGTGTGTGTGTGTGTGTGTGTGTGTGTGTGTGTGTGTGTGTGTGTGTGTGTGTGTGTGTGTGTGTGTGTGTGTGTGTGTGTGTGTGTGTGTGTGTGTGTGTGTGTGTGTGTGTGTGTGTGTGTGTGTGTGTGTGTGTGTGTGTGTGTGTGTGTGTGTGTGTGTGTGTGTGTGTGTGTGTGTGTGTGTGTGTGTGTGTGTGTGTGTGTGTGTGTGTGTGTGTGTGTGTGTGTGTGTGTGTTTGGATGAAGAGAGGCAGGCCCAGAGACAGGTCGGCGCTTGGCGTTGCGAGTCTGCTTATGTCTCGTTTCGAGGAGCCCAACGTTTTTGTCGTGTGTGTTTCTTTTATTCAACCAATTCAACTCGACTGTTTGGCAAGCGCGCACCCTGTCAAATCTTCCGTATCAATTGCACTCATTTATTCTCCAGCAATGAGATCCCACAATCGTTCCTTGTTGTGCCACTTGTGTTTGGCCACGGTCTTGAGCGTTTCTCGGAAACACTCTTCTCCACCGGGCAGCTCGGATATCCGTTGTCCACCATACTTGTTTTTGCCCACTGATGCCCACAACTAAATTGGCCAGGGAAGAGCAAGGAAGCAGACATGAACGCGCTGTTTCGTACCCGCTTGGTTGGCAAGCGCAGCAGGCCAGCAGCGGTGTACGACAAAGGGCACAGCCTACCTCCTTGTCATTCATGGTTTTGCGCCGCAGATACTTGATGATCATGTTGCGAATAAAGGTCATGGCCTTTTGAGAAACCTGTGGGCCCTTGGCGCGTTTGCTACAAACAAGGCAAGACCGGCAAGGATGAGCCCGCGAGTTGTCGAAACATGTGAACAATAGTTGCGATTTACCGTTGAGGCTCGCCCGAAGCGTCCGAGGACTTTGTTGATGCCGTTGCGGTGGCACTGTTGGCCAGGGCGGATGCGCCGGCAGAGGTTGATACAGGAGCCGACGCTTGATTTGCGTGGGTTGAGACGGCCGCCGGTGCCTCACGCTTTTGACCTGCAAATGAAGGTTCACACATAAATGTTGAGCAGACAAAAGGCAAAAGGGCAAGTTGCAAGTTTGTGGAAGTCTGGCCAGTGAAATACCTGTGACCGGCTGGCTGGAGGTGGTAGACGCGGGTTTGGCGTTGGCCTCTTCCTCGGCCTTTTTCTCTTCAGCCTGTTCCTTGTTTGCTTTTTCTTCTTCATCTGTTGAAACAAGCGGATCTGTGAGGGATCGACCCCTGTTGTGGGGGCTCGAGAGGGTGCGGGGTGCGCGATTAGAGCGCGTTGCTCGATGCGATTCCGTACCAAACTCATCATCTTCCGATTCAGTGTCCGAGTTGCCCGTTTCGAGGCGACGCTTGAGGCGCACAAGATCAGCATCATCCACCTCCTCCTCGGCGCTCTCGTCCTCTGTTTCGCTGTCAAGGACCTCGTCATCATTTTTCTGCAGGATGTCAAACTTGGGTCCAGTGGCCGGCAAGACTTCGTCTTCGTCGCGGACCTCAAACCCTTCATCAAGGTTATCAATGTCGTCGATCTCGTCAGGGTTGGCGCCGACCTCCTGGCCAGTGTGGTTGTAGCGCTTGGTGGCCTTGGAGCCGTGGCGAAAGCCACTGGCATCCGTCTCATCCTGTGCGCCGAGTGCTGCTTCAGAGAGCTGCAGTTCGTTGGACGAGGTGGTGAGGCGCTGCATTTCGGGTTGCTCCATGTCCTCCCGTTGTCGATTGAGGGCCAGTTGCAGAGCGGAGTGTTTGATTTGCAGGTTGGCCCCGGATTCCATGAGAGCATCTGCTTCATCGGCATCGATGGCCACCACTTGCCGCGCGCGGCGGGCCTCGTAGTAATGGTCGAGGGGGTGAAGTGTCGCCGCGTTGGTGCGGCGGTCCAAGGCCAGGATAAACTCTCGCTTGCCCTCGCCGTAGATGCTGTCACGTTCCGTGCCGACAAATTTGGCC